GAAAAGAGAGCAGGGGGATGATAGAGAGGAGGGCAGATTGGGAAAGGGGGTAATCACAAGCAAATACTTCTGAGGAGGGACAGGGTCAAAAGAAAGAATAGAATAAATGGGGGGGCAGGATAGGATTAAGGGAAATAGAGTTAGTTTTTCACAACATGTCTACTATGGAAGTGTTTTGCATAACTGCACATGTATAACCTATATTGAGTTGCTTGCCTTTTCAATGAGGGTGGGTGGGGAGGAGGAAGGAAGAAAATTTGGAACCCAAAGTTTTAAAAACACATGTTTAAAAAAATGTTTTCACATGCAACTGGGAAATAAGAAATACAGAAAATGGGGTAGAGAAGTCTATCCCGCCTTACCGGAAAATGGAAGGGGAAAGGGATAAGAGAACAGGGGGAGAGACAGAAGAGAGGGCAGACTAGGGGAAGGGGTATTCAGAATGTATGCCATCTTGGGGTTGGGGATGGGCGAGATGGGGTGAAAATTTGTGAACTCAAAAACTTGTGGAAGTAAATGTTGAAAACTAAAAATAAATAAATTTATATTAAAAAAAAAAAGATGGGCAGTTAGGTGGCGCAGTGGATAGAGCACTGGCCCTGAAGTCAAGAGGACCTGAGTTCAAATCTGGCCTCAGACCAAACACTTGACATTTCCTAGCTGTGTGACCCTGGGCAAGTCACTTAACCCCAACTGCCTAAAAGCAAAAAAAAAAAAAGCACAGTACTCCTAGTTCCATATTCTTGAGCAGAACAGAAAGTCAAATCTCCTTTCTACCCAAAAGGCCTTCAAATGCTGAAAAACAAGTATCATGTGCTCTGTAAAGTCTTCTCTTCTCCAGGCTAAACATCCCCAGTTCTTTCAAATGATCTTAACGTGGCACAATCTCAACTCTTCAATATCACGGCTGCCATCCTCTGAAAACTCTCAATTTCCAAAAATATAAAACCAAGAACTAAACACACTATCACATATCAATCAATAATTTACTAAGGACCTACTATGTGCCAGACACCGTACTAAATATTGGGATACAAAAGGAGGCAAAAGAGTCCCTGACCTCAAGGAGCTTACAGTTTAGTGGAGGAAATAACATGCAAACAAACATATACATAGCAAGCTATATTTTGTTGTTGTTCAGTCATTTTTTCAGTCATCTCCAACTCTGTGATTCCACTTGGGGTTTTCTTAGCAAATATACTGGAGTGGTTTGCTATTTTCTTTTCCAGCTCATTTTACAGATAAGAAAACTAAGGCAAACAGGGTGAAGTGACTTGCCCAGTATTTCACAAGCTAGTAAATGTCTGAGGCTAGACTTGAATTCAGGAAGATAAATCTTCCTCACCCCAGGTATGGCACTCTATCTGCTGCAACACCTAGTAGCCCTTTATCCAGAAGAAATAGGAAATAACTAACAGAGGGAAGGCATTAGAATTAAACAGTGTTAGAAAAGGCTCCCAGGAACTTAGAGGGAGCCAGGGACTTTAGTAGTCATAGTGGAGGACAGAAAAAATTCCAGGAATGGGAGACAGCCAGAAAAAATGCCCAAAACCAAGAGATGGTGTGTCTTGTTCATGGAACAACAAGGAAGCCAGTCACTGGATTGAACAGTACATGGTGCGAAGTAATGTGTAATAATATGATTGGAAAGGTAGAAGGTGGATAGGTTATTTGGAGTCAATGGGGAGCTAATGAAATCAACTGAGTAGGGGGATTACATGATTGGGCAGAGCCTCACTTTGGGAAATTTACTTCAGTGGATGAAGAAAGGATCAATTGGTTTCACCATGGCATATGTGGTCTCAACGTAGCAGAGGTCAGCAGGGCCATTACCTCATTAATTCTTGGATGCCATGCCTGATTTAATGCTTCTGAAATCCCATTTTTTGACAGTCATATCACCCCAATGACTCATGTAGCTCTTGTAGCCCACTAACATCTCTAAACCTTTTTCAGACAAATTGCTATATAGTTCGGCCTCCCCAATCTTGTTCTTGTGATGTTGCTGTTTTGAACCCAAGTATAAAACTTATATTTGTCCCTACTAAGTTTTACTTTATTAGATCCACACCAATACTCTAGCCTATGAAGGTCTTTTAAAATCCTGACTTCATCTAGTGTGTCTAGGTTTGTGTCATCTATAAATATGATAACCATGCCATCTATACCTTTGTCCAAATCACTGAAAAATATATCAAACAGCACAAAGCCAAGCACAGAACCCTAGAACATTCTAATGAAGAACACCTTGAAAAGTGACTCTGAACTATTAATGACTCCTCATTAGGTTTGGCCAATCAGTTCTGGTATCTAAATGTATTATAATTTAGATCTTATCTTTTCATTTTGTCCCCAAGAACAATGCGAGTGACTTTGTCAAATGCTTAGTTACAATCTAGAGTAACAGTATCTACAGCATTTTACTGAACTACCAGTCTAGTAACCCCATTAAAAAAAGAAATGTGATTAATCTGCCATGTCTTGTTATTGATTTCACATGCTGGTTCTTTGTGAACACTGTCTCCTTTTCAAGATATTTACTGACCATACCTTTAATAATATACTCCAGAATTTAATCAGTCAAGCTCTACAACTTACAGTTTGCAGATGCTATTTTTTTTCTATTTTTAAAAATCAGGGCATTAGTCCTCCAATTCTCCATGATCTTTCGAAGATCACTATGGAGTCATATCTACCAGTTATTTCAGTACCCAACAAAGTAATTCTTCTGCACCAGGTGATTTCAACAGGTGCTCTCTTACTATCTTCTTCCTTATGTTAGGTCTCAGCTTCCTATTTGCCATTTTTCTTCTGTTCTTTTAATCTAAAAATTATTCTCCTTGGCAGAGAAAATAAAAGCAAGATAAGAGTACAATAGCTCTGCCTTCTAGTTGTCCTTAGCTTTCCTCATCATCCTCATCTCATTCTGAAGTTTCATATTCCTGATGCTGTTCTTACAGGTGCATATACTTTGGATTCATTCTGTCATCTGATCTTGTGTCCACTGTATTTGCCTTTTAAAAAATCTAAGCTGTTTGATGAGCTCCCTATGTATCCACTTCAGACTTTCTTTCTTCCTCCTCAAAATTCTTTCAGAAATTCATTCTTGATAGGTACCCATACTTCTATATCCCCAATAGAATTTTAGCCCATGACATGCTACCTATGCACTTTCTAATGAAAGATAAGAAGAGGGAAAAGTTAAGTCAATTATCATTCCAAAGTTTCCAGTTTAGGACACTGAAAGAATGGTGGTACTTTGTTGGAAATGAGATAAGTGAAGGGATACCATTTTGGAAATGAGAATGCTATAACTAATGATATGCTCACAGCACTCTAGTAAGATGCTCTCTGCTTTCATCACTGGTCATTTCTCAAGTGCAGGGCTTGGGACACCTTTTTGTGGGATGAAAATTTTGATTTGATGGTCTTTCTTCTCAACAGCGAATCATCAACATCATCACTTTCAGGACAAACCTCCTAAAGGTCCGTAGGCAGCTGCATGACCAATCTTTCTGCTCAAAGATTGTATATAACTTGTTACTCATCTTTCATTTTTTATTGTTTCCTTTTTAAAATTTATTTCATTCTGAACTTAATACAACAAGCATTTCCATAATATAGAACAAAAAAAGGTTGCACATGAAAATGCAAATCTATTATGTACAACTTGTTATCCCTTTGAAATATATATTACTCATATAACTTTTTTCCCCTTTTTCCTTCCCCCTGCCCTAGAAATAACTGTATTAGACACAGTTTTGTGTGTGTGTGTGTGTGTGTGTGTGTGTGTGTGTGTGTGTATAAAATCATTCTGCACATACTTCTATTTATCAGTCCTTTCTCTGGATGCAGAGAGCACCTTCCTTCACAGGTCCTTTGTAATTAATTTGACTTCTTTCTTTAGAAATTCCTTGTTTCTCAGAATTGGCATCCCTTATACTTCTTTTTTTCTCCTCATCCTAATATCTGATCTATTGGCTCCCTATGTATAGCATCACAATTAATTCCAACCTTGATTGCTCATTGTCTGAACTTAGAAAATTCCCTGGCAGAGATATCATTTCTTTACTCCTCCTTTTACTGGCTTCCTAACTCTAACTGAGAGGTTTCTCCTCACAGTTTTCTGTCATCTCTGACTGCCTTGGCCAGATCCTTGATGTTCACAGCCCTTACACCACTTAGCAACTTCAGCTTTCTGTTAACTTCTCGGGTCAAAGGCTCTCTTCAAAATAAGCCAGGGCCCATTCTAAGTACACAGAGGAAACAAGTTCTGTTTGGTTGGTTCATTAGGTTTTACCTTGCATTCAAGCCAATTGCACCTGCAGAAGCTTCCTCACTATGAGGAAGTTTCATCTTGAGTAAATCCTTACTCAGATGTTCTATTATCTACCATTCTGTCCCCAAGAACATCTAGATTCAAATTCGTCATTCTCCCATTTTATTCTTCCCCTATTCACAATTTGTTTGGGACTAGAATCCAAAAGGGGGATAATTAATACACTTCTAGACTATAAGTTAATGCAGAAAAGATCCATCAGGGTATATCCAGACCAAAACAGGTTCCTTAATGAGCTGTCATTTAATGATTCAGATATATAGGTTGAGGGTAGCCAGTAGCAAGTGTTATGCTATCTACAACAGTCTGCTATTCTCCCATTACAGAAACTCAACTATAACAGGCCTCTATACCAAATGCTTCTTTAATGTAAAGTTGAATTAGAAATATAATTGAAGTAAGAATTAACATGCTGACATATTTTCAATATATTAAGTTGAAAAGAATATAATTTTAGGTAATGGCCTTGCAATCTATCAAATTAAACAATTCAAAACATTCAGATTTATATTAAAGTTCAATGAAAAACAAAAACAATATTAAGAGTCCCAGTTTTAATAAACTACTTTGTTATATACTAAGCAAAATTATCTCTTTATATAACTGGAGATGAACATGAAAATAAAGAAATAACCTAGTACAGTAAAAATAATAAATGTACCTGTAAGTTTGATTTTGGATAGCCGAGCCAAAATTCCTGGTAAGTCATCCAATTGTAGTTTCATTTCTTTCCACTGCTTTTCATCTTTGGACTCTGTCCCCATTCCTCCTAAGCTTTCAACTATTGATGTAGTTTCTAATTCTTTCAACTCCTTCTGATTTGAAATTTTAGACAAAGGTAGGTTGGGAAGTGAAATTGATCTGATCTCATGAACAACTGTTTTGGCTTGACTTAAAGATGTTTTCTCAAGGAAGTGAGATGTCTTTGGTTCTGGCTTGGGTTTTACTTGCTGGTAGAGTTTTCTGTTCAACTGCATCACATACTGAATGAAAAAGGTATTTTACTATAAGACATACATAGAATATTTTCAAATAAAGTTATTTTAGGCAATCAAAATTAAATCTTTAATTTAATTAGAACAAATAATGATGAGCATTTCCTTTCAATAACAAATACTTTAATCCATTCATTTAATATGTATTTTTGTGTGACTATTATTTCACCCCAGGTCCTAATCTTCATGTTTCCAAATTTCAGTTTAGTCTTTCGACTTTTGACTATTCCCTTTGCTCAATGGCTTTTTTGATTCTTGCCCCGCTGACACACAATCAGACAGAAGTTCAGAGTTGAAAGGGGTCTTAGAGGACACAAAGTTCAAACCATGTGCAATAAGAAATTCTCTCTACACTATTCCAAAAAAAGTCATCCAGGCTATGCTTGAAGATTTCCACAGCTTGGGGCAGGGAGAGGCTGGAGAAAAGGAAGGGCAACTCAATATCTTCCAAAACAGCTTCTGGACAGGTCTAATTGTTAGGAATAGTTTTAAATTTAATTTTACACACTGAGCTGAAATCTGTCTCTCCATAATTTTTGGCTATTACTCTGAGTTCTATTCTCTTGGGTAAAGCATGAAAAACCTAATCTCTGTTTGATATGGCATTTCTTTAAACACTTAAAGCTATCATGTCTCCCCTACATCTTCTCCTCCCCAAGGAAAAATTCTTCCAACTGATTTTCATAAAAAATGACATTTGGGCCCTCCAACTATATAAAATAATGTAGAAACGGATGAGGTGGCCTCTCAGTTTCTTTTCAGCTCTAGAGCTACGATCTCACGAGGTTTCTGGTCTCTGATTGTGATGCAGTTTATCAATCAGTGTTCTTCCTGAAACATGGAACCCAGAACTGAAGAAAAAACTCCAAATGTGCTCTGACTAGGGTAGAAAATAGTTGAACTATCATGTCCCCCATTCTGTTCACTATGTCTCTTTTTTTTGTTTGTTTTGTTTTGGTTTTGCTAGGCAATGGGGTTAAGTGACTTGTCCAAGGGTCACACAGCTAGTAAATGTTAAGTGTCTGAGACCGGATTTGAACTCAGCTCTTCCTGACTCCAGGGCCAGTGCACTATCCACTGTATCACCTAGCTCCTCCTCACTATGTCTCTCTTAATAAAGGCTAAGACTGCATTTACCTAGACATAGCAGTTCAACAAGAAGGGACTGGACTCCTTCTATAAGAAATGTTAGTTTAGCTTTGACCCAGAAAGGAGTCACTATAGGTTCTAAAATAGGTGACTGATACAATGAAAACTGTTGGAAAAGGAATATTCCAGCAGTTTTGTACAGGATAAAGTGAAATGGGAAGAAAAGAGGTAATAAAGGAAGTACTCATTATAATCCAGGAAATAGAGTGATGAGGATCTGAACAAGAGATAGAATGGAAAGAGCAATGGTCTTGGGAGTAAAAGATCTCAGGTTCATGACTTACTAGCTTTTTGGCTTTGAGCACATTATTTGGCCCCACTGAGCTTGAGTTATCTCTTCATTTATAAAATGGGAATATTCCTTATTATTAAATAAAAATAAAAACTCCTCTTTTTTCTTCAACTCTGTCCCCATCCAGTTATGAAAATGTAACATAACTAATAATATGGGCTTTAAGAAGGTGGATATCACTTGAAAAAAAAAGAAACAGGATCCCAAGGGAAAGGATCTATATGTACAAAAAACTGTTATAACAGCCTTTTTTTGTGGTGGCAAAGAATTGGAAACTAAGGAGATGTCTGTCAGCTAGGGAATGACAGAATAAATTGTGGTATATGATTTACAGAATTTGTAGTTCATTATTTGAGGATTTCTTGGCAAAGATACTGGAGTGATTTACCATTTCCTTCTCTAGCTCATTTTACAGATGAGGAAACTGAGGCAAACAGGGTAAGTGACTTGCCCAGGAGTAAGTGTCTGAGGCTGGATATGAATTCCAGTCTTCCTGACTCCTGGCCCAGCACTCTATCCACTGTACCACCAAGCCGCCCCTATGTGACAGAATACTACTGAGCTATAAGAAATGATGAAGGGGATGGATAAATTCAGAGAAACTTGGGAAGACTTATGTGAAATGATATAAAGTGAAGTGAACAGAACCAGAACACTGTACACAGTAACAGCAATATTGTAACCATGATCAGCTGTGAAAGACTTTGCTACTCTAATCAATACAATGATCTATAACAATTTTAGAGAACTCATGATGAAAAATAATATCCACCTCCAGCAAGAGTACTAATGAACTCTTAAATGCAAACTGATGCATACTTCTTTCGCTTTCTTTATTTTTCTTTCTTTTGGAGGATTGATGGGGAAGAGGGAACATGGCTAATATGGAAATATATTTTGCATGCCTTCACATATACAATGGGTATAATATTGCTTGCCTTGTCAATGGGTGGAGGAGGGGCTGTAGATAGGGAGAGAATCTGGAACTCAAAAATTTTTTAAATGAACAAATGTTTAAAAACAAACAAACAGGATTCCAAACCATGAATCTGCTAAAATTCCTTAACAGGGCATTAAGTCTTTGCCTTCAAACTTGTTACCTAAACCCTCTGATCCTTTGCAGTTTATAAAAATAGTGAAAATACCACCATCGGGAGGAAATAACACCATTAGGAAGCTTCTGTGCTCTATCCAGCTCAAAGAACGGAATATAGTAATGGAAAGATTTCATAAATGAATGCTACATTGTGACAAGCAGATCACTGCTCAGTTTAGATGCCATCTCCTAAAGAAACCTTTTCGAATCCCTCTAGTTTTTAGTGCATTCTCTCTCCTCAAATATCTTTTATTTACTTATCTGTTTACAGGTTGTATTTTCCAGATGAATGACAGTGACTCTGGAGTAGAAAGAGTTGGGTTCAAATCCTGCCTCAGATATTTATTACTTTGTGCCTTAAGCAGGTTATTTAAGCTCCTCTGGCCTAGTAATTTCTTCATTTGTCAAATAATGGGGTTGCATTAGATGACCTCTGGGATCCCTTCCTTCTCTCAACCTGGGATCCTGTGATTCTATGTGGAAGTTCCTTGAGGGCAAGGATGATTTTTTATTTTTGTCTGTATTTCCAGCATCTAACACAATCTCTTGCATAAATTAGAACTGAAAGTATAGATATTTCTTACACATATATAAGTACTTTGGATTATTTTAAAATAATGAGTCACTGTTACAGGAATGAATGTGTTATAAACTATGCATTCATAGATCTGAAAAATAACTTATGTTTACATAGAACTTTATTTCAAAAAGAACTTCACTTTCAACAACCTTTAAAGTAGGTAGTGTCAGTATTACTATATTCATTAAGTAACCACAGAAATTGAAGTTCAAAGAAGTTTACTGATTTACTCAAGGTCTCATGAATACCAAATTTAGGTTTTCCTTATTTTAGCTTAGTTAAGCATTTCTTCAAAATGAATTTGCAAATTCAGGACCATACTTATTAATGCTATAATTCAGAGTTCAGACTTACTTTAGAAAAAACCACCAAAGCAATAACACTGAAGTTTCTAAACCGAAGAAAATGCAAAATAACAACGCTTAATAAGTTTTCTATAGTCTATAAATCAGAATTGGAATATTTTCTAAACTTACCACGTGCTTGAGGAAATTAAGGTGCTGAAATGTAATCCATTGTTTATTAATATTCCTTAAAAGATGTATAAGTCTATGAGGTGTCTGCTGCATGGTTCTTCTTTTTAGGTGACAGATACATGCTCCTACCTGGCCTACATTGTAAAGGGAAAAAAAAAGATAGTTCAACTCACCACAAGAATGATTAAATCTAATCAGTAATCAAAATTAAAAATAATAGTTAATACTGAATTATAGAGCTGACAAAGACCTCAAAGCTATAAAGTTTAATAGCTTTGAATAATTAACTCTCCATAAAGTTATAACCTAATCAATGTTTTAATCAGCCCCAACTTTTAAGACAGGTTAAAAGGCAAACATCACAAACAACCAGCCTTTGAAATTATTATCAAGTCATGAGAGACCTTCCTCATTTTCTATTTTAAAAGAGTTACTAGCCTCAATAAAATGCTTTTGATATAGTCTACCTAGATTTTAGCAAAGCATTTGAGTCAGGATATTGTTAGTAGTAATAGGGGACTTCAATAATCTATACATCTACTAAAAGTAGAACATATAATACTTTTCTTGTCTTAATGCTAATTTCAACCTGCAAAATGTAGAGGAATTAACCAGGGGAAAAAACCTATTTTGGATCTGATTCTCACCAACAAGAGGAAACTTCCTGATGAGATGGAAATCATGTAAATCTACAGGGAAATGACTATTCTATTTTAAAATCTTTACAGCAGAAAGCCAAGTATAATCTTATATACATCCTAGAATCTAGGAACACAAATTTCAAAGATTTCACAGAAATCAAAGTTAAGGTTACAAGAATTAAAATTCTAGAGCGAAAGTCAGCCCAGGAGAAAAAGGAAACCTTGAAGAATAGAATTTTGAATAAAAAATGGCCACAAATTCTAATGAATAGAAAAAGGAAAAGTTGCCTAAAAAAAGACTAGTACAGATCCACAGGAAACAAATTTGATGGTAAGGAAACCATACAAATAAAAGCAAAGTAATCAAATAACAAAAACATGAACTTCACAAATACAGTATAGTGAAGGTATTGTTAAAAGTTTGTCTGAAAGGAAATTTGTGGTATTAGTGGACTACAAGACCAATATGAGTCAACAGTGGGATAGGACAGCCAAAAAATTAAATGTGATGTTAAGCTACACTAAAAGAGCCAAGCTGTTCAAGATTAAATGAGGTGATAGTCCTGGTATACTAAATACTACCTTCTAAGACTGAAGCAGAATTCATTTCTGGGTAGCACATTTTAGAAAGTGTACTGATGAGCTAGAGATTATGCTAAGGAGGACAGTCTGAAAGGTGAAGGGCTTTGAGATCATGCCAGGTAAGAATGGCTATTTAGCCTGCAGAAGTACTAGGCCAGAACAAAAAGCTATGGATACAAATTAAAGAGAAGCAAATTTACACTTATTGTAAGAAAAAATTTCCTAAACATTTTGCTGTTGTTCAGTTGTTTTCAGTCGTGTCTGAGTCTTCATAAATCCATTTAGGCTTTTGTTAGCAGAGATACTAGAATGGTTTACTATTTCCTTCTCCCTATCATTTTACAGATGAAGCAAATGAGGCAAATAAGGTTAAGTGACTTGCCCAGGGTTACATAGCTAGTAAGTATCTGAGGCCATATTTGAACTCAGGAAGGCGGCACTTTATCCACTGTGCCACCTAGCTGCCCCTCCTAAACATCAGGGTTGTACAAAAATATAATTGGCTTCCCCAAGAGGGACTGGGCTCTCCTTCATTAGAGGCCTTCAAGAAAAGACACTTACTGGTATCAAAGAAAATTCTATATTTTTCATTGTATACACAAATTTGACAAACAATTTTTATTAATTTATGATTATTCTAAATCTAAGCACATTCTGTTTAGAAAAAGAAGTGTCCAAACTGGCAAAGTTCCTCATGCCCCTGGATACCACTGCCATATAAATCATTTTAAAGTTGCAATTTTTAGGATTATTTAGTCAAGTTAATAATTCAATAGGAATTTATTAATTGCCTGCCATGTGCTAGGCACTATGCTAAGTGTTGGAGATACAAAGAAAGACATGAGAAAGTTTCTGCTCTCAAGGAGCAAAAAGCCTAACTGGGGAGAGAACATGAAAAGAACTATGGGAAGGCAGAGCCAAAATGGTGGAGTAGAAAGGAAGATAATGTGGCCAAGCTCCTGTACACAAAACTTTTCTAACTAGATCTAGAAAATTCATTAGACTGAATCCAGATAGGGAAATGCAGAAAAAATCTTAGTAAGACCTTTCTTGGCCTTGGTCAGCATAGGGAGACAAAAGGGAAGCTGGCTGACACTAGAGAATTGGTTAGGCCCTAAATGTTAGGTTATCTGGAAGAACAAAAGCTCAAGAACATCAGAGGAATCAACAGGTGACAAAAAGGAAATAAGAAGACCTATAAGTACCAGATCTAAAATGTTATTAAAATCACAAAGATCATAAAGAATCACAAGATCATAAAATGATACCATGAAAGTTACAATCTTCAAAACAATTTGGTAATAGATAACAAAGAGTGGCTAATCAATGGAACAGATTAGGCACACAATTTATAGAAGTAAATGAGCACAGTAACCTAGCATTGGACAAACTCAAAAATGTCAGCTATCGGGTAAGAACTCACTATTTGACAAAAACTGCTAGGAAAACTAGAAATAGTCTGGCAGAACCTATGCACTGACCAACATTTCATGATGTATATCAAGATAAGCCCTAAATGGTTATATGACTGAGACATAAACAGGGATATCATAAGTAAATTAGAGAAACACACACAAAAAAATTCCTGGTCTGATCTACAGATAAGGGAAAATATTTCATGACCAAACAAGAGATAGAGAAATTCATGGAAAGTATAATGGATAATTTTGACTACAAAAAATTAAAAGGTTTTTGCACAAACAAAACTAATGCAGCCAAAAAAAATTTTTTAAGTAGGAAACTAGGGAAATCTGCAACAAGTTTCTCTAAAAAAAAGGTCTCATTTCTCAAGTCTACAGAGCCAAATTTCTAATAAGAGCCATCCCCTAATTGATAAATGATCAAGGAACATGAAATGGCAGTTTTCAGAAGAAGAAATCAAAACTATCAATAGTCACATAAAAATTCTCTGAATCACTAATAATTAAATTAAAGGAACTTGAGGTACTACCTCACACCCATAAGATTGGCTAACAAGACAGAAAAGGAAAATGACTGGAGGGCACGTGGGAAAATAAGTACACTAATGCACGTTGGAGTCTGACCATTCTGGAGAGCAACTTGGACCTATGCCTAAATGGCTATAAAAGCATACCCTTTGACTCAGCAATACCACTGCTAGTTCTATAGCCCAAAGAGATCAAAGGAAAAGGAAAAAGATCAATATGTTAAAAAAAAAAGCAGTTCTTTTTGTGGTGGCAAATAATTAGAAACAGAGGGGATGTCCATCAGTTGGGAAATGACTAAACAAGCCATCAGATATGAACAAAGAAGGATGCTATTATTCTCTAAGAAATGATGAAGGAAAGAATTTATTACCAAAGAAGAGATACAGAACATTACAAAATGTAAAATGGATAATTTTGATTACATTAAATTGAAAGGTTTATGCACAAACAAAGCCAATGCAACCAAATTTAGGAGGGAAGCAGTAAACTGGGAAAGAATTTTTACAACCAGTGTCTCTGATAAAGGCCTCATTTCTCAAATATACAGAACTAAGTCAAATTTATATGAATACAAGTCATTCCCCAATTGATAAATGGCCAAAGGATATGAACAGGCAGTTTTCAAATGAAGAAATTAAAACTATCTATAGTGATTTGAAAAAATGCTCTAAAGCACTACTGATTAGAGAAATGCAAATCAAAACCACTCTGAGATACATCACACCTATCAGATTGGCTAACATGACAAAACAGGAAAATGATAAATGCTGGCAAAGATGTAGGGAAATTGGAACACTAACGTATTGTTGGTGGAGTTGTGAAATGATCCAACCATTCTGGAAAACATTACGGAACTATGCACAAAGAGTTATAAAAATGTGCATACCCTTTAACCCAGCAATAGCACTTCTAGGGCTGTATTCCAAAGAGATCATACAAATGGGAAAAGGACCCACACACACAAAAACATTTATAGCAGCTCTTTCTGTGGTTGTCAAGAATTGGAAATTGAGAGGTTGCCCATCATTTACAGAATGGCTGAAAAAGTTGTGGTATATGAATGTAATGGAACAGTACTGTGCTATAAGAAATGATGAGCAGGCAGTAAACTAAAAGATTAGTGAAAAAATACAAAAATAAGGCAACTCTGTGGTATTTGAGCTAGGCCTTGAAGGAAGATGGGGATTCCAAAAGGTAAAATGAGAAATGAGAAGATTACAGGTATGGGGCCTTTACAAAGGCAGGGAATCAGGAGATGGAATGCCATGCATGGAGTACATCAAGCAGGTAGTTTGTCTGGAGATTAATGAGCAATCAACCCTAAGAATAGACAGCAAGCAAACTGTGAAAGACTTTAAGTGAACGAGTCTACAATTTATCCTAGAGACAACTTGGCAGCTCTGTGATAGATAGAAAGTCTGGATATAAGGAAAATAATTAGAAGGCTACTGCAATAGTCTAAGAAAGAAGTGATAACAGCCTAAACTAGGTGGTTAGGAGATTTTTTAAAATGTGAAACCTCCACCTCTTAGAATCCCCATCTCCTTTCAACTCAGGTACCACTTTCCGAACACTCTTTCCTGATCTTCCCCATTGTTAGTGCTCTTCCTCCACATATCTTTATATCCATTCCCCTCACACAAATTACTTATCTGTGTATGTTATACCACCTTATTAAAAAATAAGTTTGAGGACAAGGACCATTTTATTTTTTCTTTGTATGCCTAATGCCTTGTACATAGTAGATGCTTAATAAAAAGCCTGTTGAATTTGTAACATGATAGATCCAGAAAATTTTTATAACACTTGACAAAGTTTCTGAACACCAAAAACTAATAGAAAAGCAACAAGATAAGCTTTGATCAAAATAAAGAAATAAAGATCATCTTTTGCATTTAGCTATAAACTGTTTTGTGGGGCCAACAAATCATATCTGGGACTAAATTTCCCAATCCGTCAAATAAGGAGGTTTGTTAACACAGTACAACGGAATGAAGCTTGGAATGAGAATTTGGGGAGTCTGGCAAATCACTTGTCTTCTCTGCCACTCAGTTTCTTCATCTGTAAAATGAGAGGGTTGTGTTAGATGGTCCCTTCTAGCTCAAAATTTATGACTCTATGCTAAGCCATTTAACCCCTTTGGACTTGCTTCCTCCTCTGACACGTTGACGCTACAGGAACTAGATGATCAATTAAGTCCCTTCCAGCTCTAATAATTCTGTAAATTCTAAGACAGGTAACTGAAGTAAGAGCTGATTCCTCAGTTACGGCTAAGCTGAGATCAATGCAACACATCAGCCTGGGTCAAGGGGCCCCAACAAGCACCTCTTGGCTCCAAACATTCTACCCCACGAAACCCCAGGATTCAGCCCCTCAGCACCAGGACAATGCAGCAAAATATCTACGGATGATGCGGATGGTGGTTTCTAGTGACAACCCAGAAACTAAAGTCCTAAAGAAAACCAGTGAAGAGAGAGCTGTGGAGGCTGAAAGGCGAAAACCAGAGACACTCCCCCATCACTCCGGGGATGCTTCCTCCCCTGTCCGGCAACAAGACTGTCAAGGCCTACCAAGGTTGTCTCAAAACATAATTAAGAATTACACCATTCGAGTGATAGGGAGCTAGAGGACTCGATACCTGTCAAGGCTAGTGAGGAACGTGCATGAGGACCGGCAGTCATTATGCGAAAAGCCGCCGACTACTTGCAGAGGTCAGCTAGGCTTTCTTGTCCCTCACCGCCTGCTGGGCGCCGCCATCTTGCCCCTCCCATTCCGTGAACAGCTATTTACGTCACATCCGGAGCCGGGCGTCTGTTCCTGAAAGGTATTTTGGGTGAGGCTGAAAGGAGCTAGACTGTAGCAAGTCTGGTTGACTCCTCCCCCTACCGAGGATTCTTGGAGACTGGGACTGGGGCTCTTCCTCATTGTGGTGCATGCGGCATGTAGCACAGGTTCGCTCCCTGTGCAGCCCGGGATTGATGCACACCTGGGAACATTAGAAAGGGAAATTAAGGAAATAATCATAGTAACAGGGCTTGATGCTATTACCTACACTTTTCACAATGTATTCTCTGCCCCACCATATAATGTATACTCCTTGAAGGTGGGAACTGTTTTGTCTTTGTATCCACATTTGACGAAATAAAATGCTTGGTTTTTTTTAAAATAATTTATTTACTTTTAGTTTTCAACATTCACTTCCATAAGATTTTGAGTTTTAAATTTTCTCCCCCTCCTTCTCCTCTCCCTGCTCCCCAAGATGGTGTGCAATCTGATATAGGTTCTACTAATACATTCGTATTAAGCATATTTTCACATTAGTCGTGATGTAAAGAATTAGAACTAATGGGAGGAACCACAAGAAAGAAGAAACCAAACAAAACAGGGAAAGAAAAGAAAAGCAAATAGTATGCTTCCATCTGCATTCCTACTCCATAGTTCTATCTCTGGATGTGGATATGTTTTTCTATCCTGAGTCTTTTGGTGTTGTCTTAGATCCTTGCATTACTGGGAAGAGCCAGGTCTATTAAAGTAGTCATGGCGCAATGTGGCTGTTACTATGTACAGTGTTCTGGTTCTGCTCATTTCACTCAGCATCAGTTCATATAAGTCTTTCCAGGTTTTTCTGAATTCTGCCTGGATAAAATGTTTGTTGATGAGTTAGCTGACCCTGGCCAATAATTGGCAAGTTGGCTTATTGATTGGTTAAGATTTGATATCATGAGTGTGGGTATTCACCACACTGATGCAGAAATGAAAAGTCTCATGTCTGTATCCTTTCATAAATCCCACAGGAGGGGTCAGTGTTTTTATGCTGAAGTGTTTTTCTGAATACCTTAACATTAAACAGCTACCAGTAGAGCAGAGGAGCAGTCCAGTTAATACTGGCTTTCTAACTATATATGATTATCCCACTTTTGTTTCTGATCTTGATTTTGTACTCAATCTTTGAACTCCTATGTATGTATCATCCTCCAAATACAACTTGGATCACTGCCATCATTATTTCTTACTCTTACACTTCAAGAAAAAGCCAACAGTCCCAACTGGACTGCTGCATGCTAATCCTTTCACCTTTTTCTAATAAACTCTTTTACATACTACCTAAAATAGTTGTTCTGAATCTTATCAAGCCATCTACACTACCACTTCCCCAAACCCTCTCAACAGAGGACTTTGCCCCATACTTAAATGAAAAAATGAGGACATTCATAAGGAGTTAACCCACTTCCTAAATTCCCATCCACTAGTATCATCCCCCAAGCTCTCTTCCTTTGCTTCAGCTCTTCTCCCTGCCAATGCTAACCCCTCTATTTGTACCCTTACTCCCATTTCTATTCATCTCCAGAAATTTGCTACTTTAATCATCCCCTCTCCCTAATTTTCAGCCTTTTCTTATCTACCAATGCACCTTTAGTGCTTTCTCCCCTAAAGCTGGACTTCCTATTTTGTGTTGTCTATTAGAGTGTGAAATCCTTGAGAACAAGGACTTTTTATCTTTGTGTCACCAGGACCAGGCATAATGCTTGGCACAAAGTAAGTGTTTAATAAATGCTTTTTTTCTTTCATTTATTCATTCATCTACTCCTTCCTTTTGCCTTTCAAATATGTCTAGATCTCTCTTCAAAAAACCTTCACATGACTCACCCATCCTTTCAAGCTATCATTATTTATAACTCTTCTATTTCAAGCCATACTCCTTAGGCTGGGGGGGAAGGAAAGAAGCTGTCTCTATTCTTTGCCTCCACTTTCTCAACTCCCACTCCTTAATTCCTTGCAATCTGGCTTCTGTCCCCATCAGATTATAGTTAAATAAGGAAATTTCAGAGTTCATAAACACAGAAATGGAGCATTTGTGAGTTATAACAAGATCAAGAGTATGACTGTGTACCTGAAGTGGAACAGAGGTGTAGGTTGTGGGAAATGAGGAAGCTGAACAACTGAAAGGGTGTGTGATTAAGGAAGAAAAATGTGGTTCAGATTCACTCCTACAATAAGACACACTCCTAGAGAGAGAAGTGAAGGTAGCTTTAATTAAGATTATAATATAAGTATAGAAAAGGTAGATTTACAGCAACATACAATTAGCAATACGACTATAGTCAGGCTAAGAATACAAAGAATAGCAATAATATAAGAAAACATCACCAATTCAGGGAAGCATCAACATCTGAAGTCCAAGCTGGGGATTCCCGGGGTACAGCTTTCAGGGTCCTGAATGGGAAAGTCCTAGGCAAATCATCCTCTCCATGGGTGAGAATCCGAAGATGGCTTTCCCAATTAGGATTTAAATAAGGCCGCTAACAAAGAAGGTTGTGCCTACTAACTGTAGGTGTCACCCCAAGCTCTGTTCTAGATCCTCTATACCTATTAACTTGGTGATCTCATCAGATTCCATGGATTCTGTTATCATCTTTATGCAGCTAATTCACATTTTACAGTTAAAGAAACCAAGGTAAATGGAAGTTAAGTGATTTTTCCAGGGTCACACAGCTCACAAGTGTCTAAGGTCAGATTTAAACTCAGATCTTCCTGACTCCAGACCCAATACTCTATCCATTGCAGCACCAAGCTGCTTTTAAGAGGTGGAAAAGAGAAAAAAGACTGTGTATGATTCAGACACTGAACTGAATGAAGAAAGGAAAAGAGTATCCAAAATTTTGATTGAGTTGTATATTTGGATTGACTAAACTTTAAAGGAAAAGTTACTGAGTAATGGAGATAGAAGAGAGAGCTGGTAGTGGCAATAGGGAGTGATGAGTATTCCCACTCCTCCATCTCAACCACTAAGTTGGAGGAATAAGTGAGAGTGTAACCAATGCTGGAAAGGGTGTCTAGGGAGGCTGTGTCATCTCTAGAGCCATCTCTCAACAAAAGCCAGGAGGTGGAAGAAGTGAGAAAAGATTTCAGATGAAAGCAAGTTTGATATCTATGGAGTACATATTTCAGAGAACATAATGAAAGGGGTGGATAGCTTTAGAGTTGTACATTTGAGAGCTTGGGTTGAGGGGGATGGGAATAAAGGAGCAGGCTGGGGGGTGGGGGTGGAGAACAAAGCTGGTACAATGGCAACCAGGGTTCAGGTTCACACTGCCTTCTCCCATGTCCCTCCATCCATATCTGACTGATTGCTCCTTCTAAGACTCTTTCAGGATAATCATCTATGATCACTCCCTGGGTACTTTGTCCTTAATAAAAGGATTTGTATTGTAAAACTTGGACTCAGTCAAAAGGCCACACCCAAGGACCTAGAGGGCCATATGTAATATGCCATATGTGGCCACATATTATACACAATTTTATTTTGTCAGTTAATAAACCCTGCCTTTTCCTTCTCCCCCCATCCTGGGAATAAAAGAAAAAAAAATCTTTCAACAAATATATGTAGTCAAGCAAAACACTTTATGACACTGGTTATGTCCAAAATGTGTCTCACAGTACATATTTAGTCCCTCAATTCAAGTGTTATCACTTGAATTGTAAATCATCAGTCCTCTAGAATCATCATTGATTATTGTATCGAGCAGAGTTCTTAAGTCTTTCAAAAATGTTCCTTTTTACAGTGTTGTTGTTAAATCATAAAATCTTCCCTTGGTTCTGCTCATTTCACTCTGCATCATACCAAAGTGATATTCAAGTGATGATCTACCCCTTCCTTTTTTGTTTAGACTTCTCCTTGTGCTCCCAATTATGTGATTTCTTCCTTCATTTCTCTTTTTCCTACTTTGTGTATCCTCCCTTCTCTTCCTTTCTCTTTTTACAATTATTAAAACATAACAAAAATAACTCCATCTTATTTGATTCCCGAGGTGACTCCTGCTGACATTACAATTCTTAGGGGATGCTTGTAACATCCCCTCCATTAGAATGCAAATACTTCATCTGCATAAAGTCACTCACAATTGCTTGTATTTACCTTTTTAGTTTGTTTTTTTCCTGTGTTTTTCAAAGTTTCTACTCAGCTTTGGTCTTTTCATTAGAAGTTCTTTATTTCACTAAAAATCCATTTTTCAAGGGCAGCTAGGTGGTGCAATGGATGAAACACTGGCCCTGGAGTCAGGAGGACCTGAGTTCAAATCCAGCCTCAGACACATAACACTTATTAGCTGTGTGACCCTGGGCAAGTCACTCAACCCCATTGCCTAGCAAAAAAATTAGAAAAAAGAAAAAAATCCATTTTTCACCCTCTTGGATTATATTGGTTTTGCTGGATAAGTTATTCTTGGTTGTAAGCTTAGATCTTTTGTCTTCTGCTTTGTCATATAAGCTCTCCACTCCTTTAGGGTGGTAGCTACTAATCTTGTGTGATCCTATATGTAGCACCTCAGTACTTTAATTTTTTTCTTTCTGGCTGCTTGCAGTATTTTTTTTTCTGTGATTTGGAACCTTCAGATTTTAGCTATGACATTCCTAGGAATTTTCATTTTCAAGCTTCTTTCAGGTGATGACTGGTAGATTCTTTCTATTTTTACTTTGCCTTCTGGTTCTAAGATATTGAGAATTTTCATTCATGATTTCTTTAAATATGATATGTAGGCTCTTTTATAGTGATAGCTTTCAGGCAGTCCAATGATTCTTAATTTATCTCTCCTTGATCATTTTAACAGGTAGGTTGTTTTTGCTATTCTATATCCTTTTTTTATCTTTTCATTTTGTTTTATAATTCTACTTTCTATTTAGTTTTTACTATTCTATGTTCTGATTTTTCAATATTTTGTCTTGGTTTTGATATTCCTTATTGCCTCATGGAATCATTGACTTCTATTTAGTGCATTCTAATTGTTG